AAGTATGATGTAGAGGATTACCATATTTTGGGAATATTGAAAGAGCGATGGACCAGGCAGTCTGACAGATCACTTGGATTTCGGACACTTCCGAAATGTGTCCGGCAACATCGATCGACATGTTCATGAGGAAGTTGACTGAAAATATCTCACCTCGATCCAGATCAGGTTCTTCGTTCATGTCCGCAATTCCTTTCTCCAAGATGGCAAGCATTTCTTTCGAAGCAATATTTTTCGACGCCTTCTTTGTTTTCGCAACTCCCTCTACTTCTTGGCCAACTACCTGAAATATATACACCCGTTCGAACTTTAGATGAGTTAGATTAGAAATCATAACTTTGCACTAGGGTATTCTCGCCAAACTGTGTAGTGTGGTTTGAAATTTGTCGAAGATATGCTGTACTTTTACCCCCGTAAACAGGGTCTTCATCACGAGCGAAGCAGGTCTGCGATGTAATTTCTGTCCTTCGAAAGTACACGAAAATGAAGCTGGAGGATAGTGGTAAGTGGACTCCATTTGGGCCCCCTCCCACAGCCAAACCACGCGGTACGTGACACGCCACACTACCAACTATGTACCTACCCAAGCCGATTGCTCTTCTTGTCTGCATCTGTCCCGTTTGATTGGGAAGCTGCTGTTCTCTACACTGGCCCGCTGGACACCTTGCCGTTCATGTTGTTCGCTACGGACCTCGGCATCGACGCTACATGCACGCTGAAGCTATCAGATAGAGACCAGAACGACATACACTTCCACTCTGGCGCTCCAGCCTCACATCACAGCCCTTTCGAACGACGAAAGCGTCATACTTCTTCAGCTGAGGACATTGATGATTGCTTATAGTTACTGATATAGAGATTACTTAGAGCTGATAAGAGCAATCCTTTGCTTTGCTTCTTTGCGCTCTTTACTACACTTCTGTTATCCCTATAGCTCAGGACTGAAAGGTCAGTAAATGAACATGTCTCATTTCCTTCCGATATCGGTAGAAGTAACCTTTAACCTCGCACATGGCACCATTCCATCTCGCAGGAAAGTGTGCAGCTTTTATTCAATCCAGTACAAATCCCTCTCATCTGAGGCAGCTTCACTAATCTGGCACTTCAAGGAACTCTCCATTCCTTCCCACCAATTTTGTTTTTTTTTAATTTCTAAAGCGAACTCTCTAAAAATGTTCAAGTTCTTACCTTACACGTAGTAATGAAGGTTCTGTCATTTGGAGGACCTTCTTCTTTATGACTGTACTGAGGCAAATCGAGCTTCTTCCTTTGACATCTAGATGAACACCAATTCAATAACACAACCATAACATGTGCTATGACCGGGAAGAAATGAGACTAACAGCTGGAGCAACCTTCCGGAATAGTTTTCATTCAGACTACTCGGAGAAGTGGAATCTTCTCCCGAAACTTCTGTACGGGCGTCACCAGTCATGAGGCCATCCCTCAATCAGATACTTCATGAAATGTCCAATTTTGGCGCAAATCACTCAACCTTAAACTAACACTGCACGATGGGCTTCTTCCTGAGTTTGACCTGGTATTCCAAATTCAACGTGTCGATCCTTTTTAACGATTTCATGGAGCATAGCTCGCGCTGCGACGTGTTTTGCCGCTTTCTTCGTTTTTGCGTATCCCTTCACGCAACTACCCATTAGTCGGCATGTGTAGCCGAAAACACAGTTCGGATCCTGCAAAAATCCTTCAAAGGCAGTAGGCACAATTGCTGGAGGTGGGCGGTTGTTACTAACGTCATTGGTGGAACGGCTGTTTATGTTTAGGCTGTGAGAGGGCGTTCGACCGCACCCACTGAGCATTTCCACCAATGACGTTAGCGGCAAGCGCTCACCCAAGACAATCGTACCCTGCCTTTTATTTTAAACTATGAATCCCTCATAGAAATAATAAATTATATTTTCTGCAAAAGTCTCCGAGTATTCGCCCTCTTAGTAGCCAAGAAGGTCGGAAAAATGTGTAAGACAATATTTGCCTGAATGTCATTCCAACATACGTGAAAACGTGAAAAGATCGCGAACTGTTAAGTTGTGGAAAAAGTTTTTGCGGATTCCGACCTCAGGCTTTGAATGCGCATGAAGTCTAGTTCGCTGCAGACGAAGGGGCGCGTGTCAGGCGGGAGTCTGGCGCGGTACCGAACCCGTTCTTCACCAGTTGTTGAAGCGACAAATGACGATACTATATCACAACATACGTATCATTCGTTTTCTACAGACTGCTGTCGCACACCTGCTTCAACAACTTTCAGAGAACGAGTTTGGCGCAGGGCACACTCATACTGCCTGGCACGCCCCTTCGTCCGTAGCGAACTAGAGTATATCTTGGCTGAACATAATTCCTCAATTGTTAACAATCAATCGAAGCAACAACCATTATCACACTTCCACCAAGAGAAACAAATTTGCTCATTCCTATCGCTTAGAAGTCTGGAGAGTTAGAGCCGATAAAATCGGTGAATGCCAGTACAGCAACATGCTGGCTTTCGGAGCTTTTCTCCCTGAGGCAGGGCATATCGTTGTTGGATAATCCCCAACACGGGGGGGGGCATATTTGGGCCGAGAAAAATCCCCCCTCCCCACCCCGTTCGACGGCTCGATTCGATGAGGAGGGACAGAGGGCCGTAGGGGAGGTCGTACCAACCCCAAAAAAAGGGCGGGGGAGGGGTAAAGTGGGAAGGGGTCGTAAGGACTCGACTAAAATCCCCAACCAATGATGTGCTCTGCCCTGAGGGAAACTGCTGAGGTGTTCGAAGAAGCTGCAACAGAAGAAAGGTAGGTCTGGTGGATATTAAGGTGGATGCGGCAGGATGTCGTACCCTAGCTCGTAATTTTTTCAGGGTACCTGGCGAGATAGCCAAGCGTTCTCGTGGAGCCGAATCGGCTCTTCCCTGCTGCCCAGTACCAGCGTATGAACTGAAGTTTTCGATCTCTTGGTGACTGTTTTTAACCGCAGTAATCTTGCCCTTACTCATGAAGGTTTATTGGATCATGCCATCTGCAAATCAGCAAACCGTCCCTTTTCGCTTTGTTCGTAGCTTTTTACTTTAGATTATATAGATCTCACTTCAGAAATCAACTGATATTCCGGAGCAGTTCCATATACACGGCGAGATCCTTCATCAAGAGCCATGACTGGAGTTTTCTTAAAAATATTTTTCACTAAACTCAGTATTATTCTCGTACCCATACATTACCGTTACCTCAAAGACACCAGCATAAAAATACCTGACTGAACATCGTTGCAGCTGCGCTTGGTGGTGCGGCAGAATGAAATGCAAAATACGACGGCTCCGTTCTTTTCAGCTCATCGATGGGAGTGAAAAGATCCTTCATCGTTGGCATACCTGAAAGTTGGCGGTAAGTTGCGAAGGAGAAAGCAAAACTTCTGCATTGTTCCGAATGACGTAGAGTGCGGACACAAGTTAAAGCGAGTGATTTCGGTGAAAGGCTGTCTCGAGTTATACATTTAGTTATAGTAGTTACACATGCAATTCGACCTAGCTGAACGTGTGTCGTCTCTTGAGTTATCCCGCGTGAATTGCCAGCTAGGCATTAAATGAGAATTTCTCCTTTTATCTTCTTGTGAGCTTGGCATGTTATTCCCTGGGATACTTAGAACAACTGCACTTTCCAAGCTTTTTAGGCCAGATCGTTATGACTGTGTTCATACTTTGCGGCAGCGTCTACCAGCGACCAATAGCGTCCACAGCGTTCCGAGCGTCCGGCAGCGTCAGCGACTAGGAAAGTATAGATATCGATCTAGCGTCTGCCAGCGTCTATCAGCGTCCACCAGCGAGCAGCAGCAGACTGCTGATGGAGAGAGAATGGTGTGAACACTTGTCTGCTACCCTCCTATCGTGCCATACTCTCTACCAGCAGTCTGCCACCCTCCTATCTCCCCATACTACCAGCTGTCTGCTACCCTCCTATCGCGCCATACTCTCCACTCCCGGGCGCTGGTAGACACTGCTAGACGCTGGCAGAGGCTAGATCGATCCTAAAGTCGCGAAAAAAAACTTGGAACAGGTCCAAGTCGCGAGCTTTTTTATAGTTCTACCAAAATTTTTAAATTGCACATGAAAACTTTCTTTGCTCAGAAAAGTACGCCTCAAAATGCTATTCTAAAAATAAAGCTGGTTCATTGAATTCGTTACAAAATTTTGAAGATTACTGCGATGAGGTATGCAGCTGCCACTCTGACTCATTGAACCGGTTTTCAAAGGTTCTAATGCTTTGGGAACAATATAGGTTTCTCGAGTTTTGAAAAAAGAAATGGAAGAAGGAAGCGAACACTCAGACAGGTGTGATCTTCTTCCGATGGATCGCAAAGCATTAGAAACTTTGAAAACCGGTCCAATATCAGAGTGGCAGCGGCATGCCGCATCGCAATAATCTTCAATATTCTGTGCCGGTCACGAATCTAATCAACGAACTTTATTTTTTGGAATAGATTTTAAAGGCGTACTTGATTTGAGCAAACAAAGTTTTCATGTGCAATTCAAAAATTGTATGTAAAACTATTAAAAAGCGAGCGACTTGGAACTGTTCCAAGTTTTTTTTTCCGCGACTGTATACTTCCCTAGCCCTTGAAACGCTGGTGGACGCTGGTGGACGCTGGTAGACGCTGGTGGACGCTGGCAGACGCTAGATCGATATCTACACTTTCCTAGTCGCTGACGCTGCCGGACGCTCGGAACGCTGGTGGACGCTGCCGCAAAATATGAACACAGCCTTCCTTTTGGCCTGATGTTTCAACGCAATCGTTTTCTCCAGAGACATTGAAGTACTTCGAGTCGAGAAAGGATCCCAACCGTCCAGTCCACTCTGGCAGTTTGGATATCGTAACTGGAACTCAGCAGGCTCAGCGGAAAATCCCCCGCAACGTGGAACGCCATTCCGCACAACACCAGCAACGAATAGGAACCACTTGTAGAGTGTCTCCGTATACGTACCAAAGTTCTGAAATGCACATACCACTGGCTGTTTTACAACTCAGAATACGATTGGAAATGTAAAAAATCTTTAGTAATTGACGACTCGGTTGTTCATTCCAGGAATTCAACGAAAACTCAAACACCTTTAGCGCTTTGGTTGGCGCAATCTTCTTCTCCTGCGCAAACGCTTGCGCAATTTACACTCCAAATCCCGAAGATGTGAGGGCGTGGCTGCTTAGTTTACTTGTGCATATCGTCTACTGCACTTCGAAGGGTTATTTCCGTTAAAAGACGATTGTAATATCTCCTTGCACAACTCAAGACATAGTTACCGGTGTCAAGTAGAACGCTAATCCCACGAAAAACTCTTCTTATGGTAAGTTAAAATCAAGTACGTAGCCACGTCCTCCCTATGCCGGATAAGGACATGTGTTTGCTAGAGCCGTCGTAAGCTAACC